AGATTATGGTGCACAACCTTGCCCATATTTGAAGCAATAATTTGAAAAACCTGAAGAAATGTTTTTGATTCATTTTAACTCAACTCAAAATTGTTGGAGACACATTGGATCTGGAATCACATTGCATGCTATGAAAATGCACATGCCCGGAAAAGCAGAGGGCTGTGCAGTAAAGTGGTCTTTAGAAAAAATGCACCACTCAAAAGCTCCTTAGATGCAACCCCATGTTTCTAACAGCAGGGAAAGCTTTCTAGTTTTTAACTGCAGGCTTCAAACAAAGAAAAGTGGGAGCCTCCTTTCTCCTTTTCCCTGGCAGTTCTTTTGGCTTTAATTCTAAGTTGGTGATTTAAAGCATTAATTAAAAAAAATATTCACATTCACCGTGAATAAGGTTCCTAAGTGCTTTTCAAGTGCAGTTTGACCTTTGTGACTTTCTTAAAACCATTTTTTAAACTTCCAACTCAATAGAAATCAACACTGATTGAGGTGCGCCGCTGTTTAAGCTGATTCCACTTACATAAGAGCCCCTTTACGTCCATTAGTATCTACAGTTAAAGCTCAGCCTCTTTCTCCAAAGTGCTATTAGCAGTTCTGTCACAAAGACTGGACGTTTGCCTGGAAAATTAAATTAAACATGGGAGCTTCTTTTGATTAATGAGCTCAGCGCTATGAATAAGATGCATGTGATGGCTCTGCTTCTAATGACGGTGATCTGGCTATAGGCATGTATATAGGCTATGTAGCTTCATATCCCCCAATAATATTTCTTTAACCCTGATGTATGTTATAATCCTACCTATAAAGGGTCAGTTCACAGACTTTCTTTGTTTAGTGATGAAAGTATTTTAAAGTAAATCTGAATGTGTTTAATTACATGTCTTTCCAGTTGATTGTGAAATCAGACCGTCTAAAGGGAGCCAACGACACCCCCGTCTACCTCTGTGTAGGGAATAAAAAGGATATCATGAATTTGGCAACAATATGAATTTTGTTTCCATTTAACTTTGGCGAACTGACCCTTTTAATTTTACTGGTAGCTCTTTTAGACATTTCTCACCAGCCCTGCATGACGTCTTCTCTGTGGTAGCCATAGCTACACTGTGAGGTACAGTGCGTTTGCCATGATGTTTTTATAGTGACTCTGATTTATATTTACTTTCTAATGGTAAATAGGACGTTAGGAAAAAAGTGATAATGTAACTGTTTTATGACAGCCGAAAATAAACTATTAAAATAAAGAGTTTACATCTTTGTGACAATATCAGTGTAGCTGGAAGTTTTTTAATTAACTGCTATATTTTGTTTCTCTTACAAGCTAATCCAGCACAGTAAAACAATGAAACTACAGCTGTATATTCAATTTTAGTAGGAAGATCTCTGACAGGTCGCACACTTTGGAGAATTTTTCATCTGTGTTCTTTGCTGCCCTCAGGTGGATAAACTGGAAGAGGCAGAAAGCCATAGAAAAACTGAGGATGATGTAAAGGAGCCTCAGCAGATGGTGTTTGGTAAGTTTGGATTGCTGAATTAAGTGAAAATAATGCTATTTAATGGGACTTCTAAATTTCTGCTTTTTATAGTAAAAAAGTTAAATTTTATAGTACTCATAATTGTTTCAAACTAAAGCATTCATTGTTTGCGTTTCAGGCTGAGGTGTGTTTCTGTCTTTCTTGGATAAACCTTAAAGCGTTGTTTTTCTGTGTTACCAGGCCAGCAGCTGATGTTGCCCGCCGCTGCTTCTCCTGTGGCTCCTCAGCCAGCATACCCGGCTTACGGCTATCCTGCCCCTAACAGTGCTACTCCCGCCGCCGCCGGTTACCCTGCTCAGCCCCCCTACGGCTACAACATGTAGACTCCCGAGTCCTCATTTTATTCCAGCCATTTCTCCTGGTTCCGTTCATCTGAGGGAAAAAAAAAAATGATGCACACCTAACCTGAAACCTGCAACCCAGAGCCCCACCTTCCAACGATTCTCTGACCTCACTGACTGAAAATGCAGTAGAATCTTCATCTCAAGTTTCTTTATGCTCTGTTTAAACGAGTAATCAGAGACATTATCAGTCCTACGGCGACCTCCCTGCCATCTTTCCACTCGGACATTAACGACTGCATCAATAATCTGAACTGCATGAATTCGCTTCTCAGCTGCTGGAGGAGCACCTTTACTTTCACCAAACCACTCTGCCCCCTTGCTGTTCCATTTAGACTTTAACCATAGAGTTTCTTTGTTTTAGTTATTTTTTCGCACTGATGAAGAAGAGACTTATTTGAGAAGCAGCAGGAGAAGGAAGGAATGTGTTTGCTTCTTCTTCTTCTTCCTGTTGAAAGCACTGTTGCGGCCTTATTTAATCTGAGGTGGCTTGTTTGTCTCACAATTGGATTCACATCTGTGTCATGCTCTGTTAGGAATGACAGTTTCTGTGCAATAGTTCATTGTGTCATTTCACAACAGTTACAAGTATTTGCAGGAAGCAGACTAATGACCACTAGTGAATAAGGTTACAGTCTGTGAAGAGCGTTTCTATGTAAGGAGCCTCTGGGGTTTTTGTGGACTCAGTGAAACCTTCACCCATCACACACCTGATTTCGTCATTGGACTTTTCAGAGACCCTAAATTGGACGTCCGAGGAGAAAAAAAAAAATGTTAGAGAAGAAGAAAGCTGGTCAAAATTAATAATAGGTGCATGTGCTGCCAATTCATAATTCTGCAACCAGGAGCACAACTGTCATGTCACACTCAACTATATGAAGTATTACAGATTTTGTGTCCAAAACAAAGATGTATGATACAAAAAAACTTCCCACCAAATAAAGACAAAAAAGATGTGGTGAAGCTTCAAGTCTAGAGATATAACACCTCCTGGTGCCAGTTGGGTAAACAAAACCGTGTATAAATTAAATGTAATAAAAATTCCTAACATTAGAAGTAAAATAGTATGAAACACTATATGTATTGCTTATAATGTGTTGTAGTCCTAATGGAAAAAAAAAAAGTATGAAGATTTTTTTTTTGTAAGAAAAAGGTCAAAACAGCAGCTTAATAAAAGGTGAAGTCTTGAGGCAAACCTGTGTAAAGTGGTCATTTTTTTATCTGTCATTAACTTGGTTAAAATTCATAAACATCTGTTTCTTTTTATATGATACTGATTCAAATCTGGTTTGCATGAATTAAAGCGCTGATTCTTCATGCTAACCGAGCCCCGGCTGCTTTAACAGTGGTTTAGCTGATTTTTGGTTTTGGTGTCTCTGAATTTCCTCCTTATAGCAGTCTATAGATGGATTCTACTGGGTTTAGGTCAGGTTAGTTTGAAGGTCCTTAAAGCACAGCGACGCTACAGTCTTTAAAGTAGTTATTGATAGTTTTGCCAGTGTGGACAGGCATCAAATTGTGTTTGAATCCATAAAACTTGACTGCAGAGGAAAGCATAGAAGGCTGTAAAACGTCCTGGTACAGATCTGCGATGGTTGGACTTGGAAAAACCCCAGCGGAGCAAATCATCACGGACAGTTAAAATTTCAGACTGGAGCTGAAGCGAATTGGATTCTGTGCTACTTTTATTGCGACATCTTCAACCAGGATCTCTAAACTAGGACTTTAGACCAATGGGCCAGCAGTTCAGTCCTTGAACTTGGTATCCAGGTAAGACTACTCTGATGTCACTGGCTCAGAAGGGGCTCACTGCAAAAAAAATAGAAATAGAAATCGAAGTCATTTTTTCTTAAATGTGTTTTTTCTTGAATTGAGGTAAGTGAGACACACTTTGCCAATAGAACAAGACAATTTACATTTAAAATAATTGCATTGTCTTATTTCAAGTGAATGTTATCCAATTATCTTAGAAATACTAATTCTATTGGCAAATCATCTTATTTAGCTACACAAATTAGGAGTACCGGTAAATAAACTTAGATTCAGACATTTTTACTTATTTCCGGATCATTTTTGCTGTGCTTAACAGGAACAGAAAGAGCCCAAGTCTATGGTGCTTCTCTGCAGTCCACACCCTGTGGATCTCTTCTGTTAAAGGCTGTTGTTTGATCCTGTTGTCACTCTTTTCTGTTACTTTTATTTTCCTTCCACTCAACCTTTCATGAAACGCTTAGAAACTGCTCTCTGTAATAGGAAAATGCCAACAATTGTCTTCTAAAACATCAAGTCAGCAGTCCCCATGATGATGCAGGTCGTGGTGGCATTTCTGTATTAAAAATGTTCTCTGTTGTCTTGATATAAATTTGTTTTAAACTGTTGAGGTTTAACTTTGAGTCACTATTACAATTGACAGAAAATACTTTAAACATCATTGGTCATGTTTAATTAACCTGTACAACTAAAACTGATTTATCAAACAGCTGGTTGCCATTAAATACTGTAGAGAAAAATGACACAGAGTGGTTAGTGTCACACATATGTTTCTTGAGAAATTAGTTAAAATATTAGAAGATGGGCTTTTCTTTTGAGTGTTTTTTTTTTCTTCTCTCCATCCGTTTGGTCCAGATGACATTTTTGGTAACTGGGCAACCAGGACATGATTGATGGCCAGAGCTCCAGCCTCTTTATCCAGGGAGGGCGTGGTTGGATGCTTGGATTTGTTGTAAAATAGATATAATGGATTATTGAAGTAGGTTGTTTAGAAAAAAAAAAATAAGATCACATTCATCCTTTTATTTCCTAGTGTCTGCATTTGCGATCAACAAAAAAAGGGTTGTTTTGCCCCACCCTTTTTTTAATATCTACGAAAATGCCCCTTTTTTATTTTTTTAAAAAAGTCACTAGACCATAATGACTTGCTTTGATGTCTCTGGCAATAAACTTCACGAATGTTCTCGGGAAATTAAGCCTAATTAGATCGCATAACTAAATATTTATTCATCCTTTCTTCCGCGAGCGTTGCGCTATTACGCACAGCCCTCCAGCACCGATATTTCTATGGTAACAATCAACATCTACGTTGAAATGAGTCGTTCTGAACAACTTCCCTGATTGTATCCGCCCACTGTCACTCTGATATCCGGGAGTCTGTCCGGGAGCAGCTCAGAGATCACCTTCATCCAGGGGAGCGCACCGGCGACCAGCCCGTCTGCTGCTGTTGCTGCTGCTGCTGCGCGCTTTTCTTTACTTGGATAGGGGAAAAATAGTAAAAAAAAACAACAAAAAGCAAATATCAACAGATTTAAACAAATTCAGTTTTTTTGTGTGTGTAATAATGCAGGATCAAAGCGCTTTTTTCAGCCCTTTTTGCAGACCGCGATGTCTGGCGGCGGCGGCTCCGGCTGGAAGAGCGAAACTAACTCATCCAGGAAAAGCGATTCTGGCAGGTGAGTGAGTTCATCACAGGAAGAGGATTAGGGCCAATGAAAAAATTAAAAAAGTTAACTGATTTTTTTTATTTTATTTCTGAAAAGTCTGAATTCTGTCTGAATTCTGAAAAAAAAAGCCAGAATTCTGAGATTAAAGTCAGAATTCTTACTTTTTTTTCCTTACAATTCTGACTTTTTTCTCAAAATTCTGACTTTAATCTCAGAATTCTGACTGTTTCTCGAAATTCTGACTTTGATCTCACAATTCTGACTTTTTCCTCAAAATTCTGACTTTGATCTCACAATTCTGACTTTTTCCTCAAAATTCTGACTTTAATCTCAGAATTCTGACTATTTTCTCAGAATTCTGACTTTTTTTCTGAAAATTCTGACTTTAATCTCACAAGTCTGACTTTTTCTCAAAATTCTGACTTGAATCTCACAATTCTCACTTTAATCTCACAATTCTGACTTTTTCTCAAATTCTGACTTGAATCTCACAATTCTCACTTTAATCTCACAATTCTGACTTTTTCTCAAATTCTGACTTGAATCTCACAATTCTCACTTTAATCTCACAATTCTGACCTTTTCTTAAAATTCTCACTTTAATCTCAGAATTCTGACTATTTTCTCAGAATTCTGACTTTTTTCATATATTACACAGAAATAAAATTAAAAAATCAGTTAACTTTTTAAAAAAAATTTTCAGTCACCCTAATCCTCTTCCATAAAGATCTGTCAATGTAGATGTGAAAAATATGACGATGATGATGATGGGTTTATGGCTTCCTGAAAGTTACAGTTGCAGAGAACAAGTTGACCCTTTTTGGATATTTTGTTCTAAACTAAATTCTGTTGAACATTCCTGTTATGCTGAAAACAACCTGGTTTAAAATGGTTTAAAAACAGGACCTAAACTAATCAGAAAGTTAAATTCCCTGCACAAGTGATATTAATGTAGATTTACTTAGATAGGAAAATAAAAATTTCACAAAGTTTTTTGCATAATTGTAAAATACACCCTCAACTTTCCATTTACATTTACATTTTCCCACATTCAGTCCAAAAACATCAATGATTCCAGCTGGATTATAAACAATGAAATAATGTTAATTAACCCGTATCAGTCACCTAAAAGGACCGATCTACATGATATTTTCTTCTTTCACAGCAGCTGGTAGTGTATTTATTTTGGAGTGGCTTTGCTTTTACCAGTTTTGAAGATTTAAACTTGTTTTTCCAAGTAACTTTCATTCAGATTAGACGGATAGTGTCTTTGAATATCTTATTTCAAGTCCTGTAGAAATGTTTTAGCTATATTTAGATCTTAACTGATTTGACCATTCAAACCTAATCCCCCAATTGTAGCTCTTGCTGTATGTTTAGAGCTGCTGACAGGTGAACCTCACCTGAGTCTGAAGTCCTGTGCAGCTTCTAACTGGTGCTCTTCCAGGATAACTGTGTAAAGTTTAGTATATATGCCAAAAATCTAATTTTTAATATCTGACTAGATCCCATGACAGCTTAAGTGGACGCTGTGTTTGCAGTTGTGCCATACTGGTTTCATTTTCAGCATCTAGAAGACTTTAAAACTTCCTTCCTGTTCTGTGTGTTGTGTCCTTTTCGATCATGATTGTGTTTGTTTACTGTATTGTTATCAATCAAACGTCTACAGTATGTGAGCTTTGAAAGCAACTGGTTTTCTTTTTTGGTGTAAGGGAGTAAATGGGACTGAATTAAAATCAATGCCATTATTTCAGATTATGAATTTATAAACGAGTGAGTTGCAACTCCTGGAGACACTAACTGATAAAAGTCTTATCTGAAGATGTTGCTGTTTGAAAATAATTTTGAAGGGTCAGCGCTAAACAGCAGCTCAGTTTCCGTCCTTTGTCCCTCAGTCCTGCAGGCTGAACCAATGCCTGCAGGAATATCTGTTCATCCTTCTGTGCAAATACCATTAAAGCAGAGATGCAGAGGACATACTCTTTGCCGACATTTAACTTATGCATTTATTTATGTATCTTAACAAACTGCTTTACCATTAGTGCCATGCTTCTGGTATTACTTCTTAATAGCAATCAAAGGATGCTATGTTCTGTATATGTCCCAAATATTTGCTTTTATTGAGCAAGAAAGGACATTTATTCAACATCTTGACAATAACCACAGCTTGGTGACAGATATTGTGTCCTATATATGTGTAAAGCAAAAAACAACAAAGTACTTTTAATGTCTGATGCATTTTTTATCCAATACTTTTGCTGTGGATTTTTTGTGGATTGAAATTCATACTGAAATGAAGTCCATAGAACTCTGTTTAACTTGGGGCTCAACTAACAATTATTTTGCAAATCGATTAATCTTAACATTATTTTTTTGATTAATCAATTAATATTTGGATAGCCAAAGGTTCCTTAAAAAAGAATTTTTACAGAAAATAAACCAGGTGAAACTAAAACTTTTCCACTTGAGGAGTTCTAGATAGAGCGTATAGACAGAAAAAAGCATATTTTTTGTCTTAAATGCAAAATGTTTATATATTTTTTTAAGAATTTTGATATAATTACTGCCTAAGTGGGTCGCTCTGTCAGTTAAAGTCATCTTTCACAGTCTCTACACTCCAGTTAATGATTAGTCGATTACTAAAGTAGTTGACGATTATTTCAATAATCAATTATTCAAAATTAACCTGATTAATTGTTTCAGCCCTAGTTTAAATGTAGGTTTTATCTAAACAAATACAACAGGAGAAGATTTTCAGCAAAGCTCTAAGCAGTTTATTTAACCAAATGAATGAATAACATTAGCAGTCTGTGATTTTAAAGCTGTATCCGTCATTAATCAGTTCTGAACCCTGTGACCCCCTCCCCTGCTCCTGCTATAGACCTCTATGTGTGATGATGATGAGGCAGCAGTAGCTCCAGCTGATGAAGAACCTCCTCTGAGGTGCTTCTTTATTAAGGCTTCATGCTGAGGTTTGGCAGCACTCTGCTGATTTCTGCTCTGTGCTCTGCCAGTCGTTGCTTACTGAATCCTTCATACCCTTGATTGAATTTGTTTTGATTGAAGACTGGTTGGTTCCAAACAAGAGTTAGTATACTGGTTCAGAATAAATTTTTCTTCTCTAAACCAAACATAATTAATAATTATTATCAAACACTTGGATGCACATAAAATCAAGAAAGATGTTTAAAAACTTGAAACACAGTAATAAAGTAACCATCAGATTGTTGCATCACAAAGAACTACTTGGTTTTACTTTAAACAACTTGTTAACCAGTTTCCATGATATAGATACCCATATTTCCACTGACTGTAAACGTTTCCAAACAGCCATAACCTCTTTTCTTTAAACATAAGGAAAAACAAAGTAACAGTTTTCAACCAGCTGATCAGCAGTGACAGCAGATGGAGAAGGAGGGACAATGCTATCTCTCATAAAGGTTTTAAATGTTATTTTAGCATTTAGAAGCAGTATGTTTTGGATACATTTGTGTCCATTGATGCCTGCAACTGGCCTTTGTCTGATTTTTAACTGTGTAGCAAACAGACCAAACCCAACCTGCTAAACATGATATCAATCCTGATAATAATGAAACTGTCGGGCAAGTTCTGCTTTTGCTGACAGCTGAGGGATGATATTTCCACTTTCAGTATGCAATCATGTAACATTTAGTTGCAGGTCAAGTGTGTAATAAACCCCGCGCTGCATTTTTAATGAAATGTTTGCAGCATTTATATGCTGTTTTAGAAATGGAGTTTTTTCATTCTTAAGTTCTGAACAAGTACAGTATGGACAAAAAAAGAATAGATTATAATTTGTTTTTAGCATCTTTATAGATTTTTTAAATTCTTTATTCTAAATAGTGAGTTGAAGTTTTTTTTTTTACATTTATATAATGAATTCAGCTTTCTGCTCTTTTATTTTATTTATTCTAGAATTAGACAACTTTTATTGTAATTTTGTATACACAGAGTGTATACAAAGCATTTTGTTTTGCACAACTGCCATAACATTTCCATTTCTTAAAGTGCAGCAGTGATCAACTGTAAACATTGTGGGAGAATAAAACATGGTGCAAAAATGTATAGCACAATTCAGTACAAAGACAATGCAAAGTGCTTTACATGATTAAAATATAGGAAAGTAAAACAGAATCAAAGCAAGTAGGAAAAAAAATGCAGAAACAAGAAAGAACATTACAAACAGTTGGACTAAAGAAAAGCTTTAAGGTGTCTTGGTCAAGGTCAATGACTGGCATATCTAACATATAACAACCATGCCATGCATATTGCTTTAGGTTAATAGACTATTTTAATTAGGCTATGAATGCTTCCAAAAAAAAAAAAAAAAGAAAATTCCACCATCCTCTTGTTTTTTTTTGTTTTTGTACAACTAGACTACTGCTGACAATCTTCTCTGCTGTTCTCACCACTCTCACTTTCCTCCAGTCTGTGGCGCTGCAGCCTCCACACCACACAGTGAGACAGCTGGTCAGAACGCTCTCTATGGTGCTTCTGTAGAAAGTGGTGAGGATGGATGGGAGCAGATGGGCTCTCATCCTCCTCCTCAGGAAGTGGCTCTTTTGTGCGCTTTTGACCAGTGAGGTGGTGTTTACAGTCCAGGTGAAGTTGTCTGTGATGTGCACCCCCAGGAATTTGGTGCTGCTGAACACCTCTACAGCTGAGCTGTTTATGACCAGTGGAGCGTGGTTAGGCTGCTTCTTCCTGAAGTCGACAATGATCTGGTGTGGTGTCGTCTGCAAACTTCACGATGTGATTGGTGGTGAACCTGGGGAGGCATTCATGTATCATCAGGAGGCTCAGGACGCAGCCCTGAGGGGAGCCTGTGCTTAGAGTGATGACATCAGAGGTGTTCTGTCCCAACTGGACTGACTGAGGTCTGTTTGTGAGAAAGTCTAACAGCCAATTGCAGAGGAGTGTATTGAGGCCCAGCTGTTCCAGTTTTGCCATCAGATGCTCCGCACGTGGAAAGTTAAATTTATGATTTA